GATTTCTCCTCCACTTCCGTCGGCTGCGCTCAAGAGCTGGGGCGGGGACTCCCCAAGCCTCCCCCTGTGTCAGTCTGCACAGAGGGCCGGGGCTGGCCGGAGAGGGCTTTACCCGTGGCGGCCACCTCAAGTCAAGGACAGACGCATCCACAGTTTTGAGTGGCCTAGTGTGGGTATTTGCAACCAAAGGGTCAGAGGGGCACAGACCGCAGTTACTGTCAGCGCGCAGCATTGACACTCACTACGCCCGGTAGACCGGGCTCAGCCTGTGCACGAATCGCATCTCTTGTAAGCACATAAGTCCATAAGGAGAAACACCCCAGTGTTGGAAAGCTCAGTGAGCGATGCCCCCACTGCGCTCCTAATTGTGAGGCCGCCTCAGGTGAGAGGTTCTGGACCTCAGTCGGACAGCAGTCCTTGTCTTGGGTCCAACTCACAGGGATGGCCTGGAAGAGAAGGGCTCTGGGATGAGAAAGACCACCTGTGCCCGCAAGGCTCCCAGTGGGGGACTGCAGACTCCTACCAGAAGTTAATGTAGCTGTTTGTGCAGGCATGTCTACCTCGGTCACACCTGTCAGTAATTTTTCCTTTACTGATAGCAGACAGCCTTACATCATGTAGTCTTTACTGTGTTGACTAGTTAGATGTTAAGTGTGAGTGACGTGGAAGCGGTATGTGGGTGAGTTTCCGATGCCAATGTGCATCCAGCCAGCAGGATGAGTGGCTCACTGTGAGGCCCGGGTCTCCCCCCGCCCCCCCCCCCCACCCCCCACACAGGCTTACTGCAGATTCACTGACACAGAGGCTCGCACAGTGGGCGTGGAGGCTCTGAGCCTGGAGACCTCACCAGCATCGGGGGCGAACTTGGACTCACTGTGAATTCTGCAAAGCCCTCTCCTCTGCCCTTTGGAACCGGGCGTGAGTCTAGTCTTAGACTTTGGTTCTGGGGAGGACTGAACTACAGCCATCAGAGAAGGTTCCCAGGAGCAGGGGGAAGGGCCAGAGTTCTGATTGGGACGGATACGCCCTCTCACTGTGGCCACACAGAGTGGGGCTCAAACATTGGCCACTCTTTCACATCCACAGGTCCTTGAGCAACTGCTCAGCCTTTCTGAGCCTCAGGTCCTGTGTCTGCAGAACAGATGCTACGTGGTCCCTCCAGACCAACAGAGTTGCTCTGAATGTCACTGAAGTAGAGGTGGGGCGGAGTTTCCCTCGAAGGCACTGGCGCTGGAGAACTGTGTGAAGTTTATGTCATGCTGTCGGCTACCCAGCCTGTGGCTGGGGAACGGTAGCTGGCTTGACTCTTTCACCTACTGCCATGGCCAGCGTGAGCAGAGTGTCTCTAAGTCACGTTCCGTTCGTCTTCCATCTCGTCCTGTCTCTGCCTTTCTTACCTGTCTTCACCTTTATCATGGCTACTTTTTAAAAAGATTCATTGATGGTTACCTTCACTTTTAAATTTTTTTTTTTTTTACAAATTTTTCTTTCAGTTGGTAAGCATGAGACTGGGGACCAAAAGGCGTCTTTCCTGGCACACCTGCATTTCTGCACACCTGTGACAGCCCCTTCCGGGTAACAATGGGGAATGCAAAGAATTTACGGGAGAGGAATGAGGGGGCAGTCACCCCCTGCAGAGAGTGGTCCCCTGCGGGCCCATCACATTCCAGAGCTGATCTTGGCCACACCCTCCCTGAGGCGGAGCCCCTCCCTGCGCCAGGGCCCCCGGTTCCCTCCTGCAAAGGTGCTCATTTTACCTGGGGCCAGAAAGAAGAAAGCAGCAAAGAGGAAGAGCAACATCCTCATGACTTGCAGGGTCCTTGAGAGATGTGAAAGCGATACGTCAGTTTGGGGTCAGCTCCGCGTGCATGAGACAAGGAAGCAAACACCCACATTTATACGTCTTTCCAGACCGGCACCATCTTGATCGCTGAGGCATATCTGAGGTGTCTCTGTGCTCCGCTGCATAGAGCCCACGGACCTCAGTGGGTGTCCGTTGGCAGCTCAGCAGGGTTTTTTTTTTTTTATTCTGGAAAGTTCCCAAGGAAAAATGGGGATGGGGGGAGGACAGAGTAGGGTGTGCACGGACAACCGAGCATACACATGTGAGTCAGCTGGAACCCGGCAGCTGGGATTTATGACCCTGCCCGTGTGCCTCTGTAGACTCGGCATGCTCCCGTGTGCGATGATGCCACAGGGCGTCGGTGCCGGGGTGCCCGGGGCGCAGGGGAGCCTGCATGGCAGCTGCAGCATTTATGAGCTGCGCCCACTTGGCGGTTGCGTCGCTGAGCATTCTTATCTATTTTCACAAAGGGGACTCTTCCTGCGTGCTGCACACTTTAAATGCCACATGCGTCGTCTCAGGTAATTCCCAAACAGCTCCCTGGAGAGTTGTGAGCTCAGTGGATGCTTCATCGAGATTTCGTGTGTGTGTGTGTGTGTGTGTGTAGTATTTTAATTGTCAAATATGTATATAAATCTAATATCCTTCAAAACCTTATGCAAGAACAGGTACCATGGTTATTAACATTAATAATTACTAACATGGATGTTACACTAGGGGTGGGTGCGGGAGGGAACATGAGAACTCACTACTGTCTTTGCAACTTTTCAGTAAATCGAAAATCATTCTAAACTGCAAATTTTCATTGGAAAAGCCTATTATTGAATATCCTATCTATCTTAGCCTTGATTGCCATGACATTTTTGTTAAGCGTTTTTTTGTGCATACTGATGATAAATTTTGAATAATCCAGTTAAGAATGATAGATGGAAAGTACAAGTTTTCTCTATTCCCTTCCAAACCTCACTAAAAGGGTTTAAATCTACAAGAAAAGACAAACCCCCAGACTGTCCCAGTTATCCCTGACTTCAGTTATTTCATTTATGACCTCATTAGCGCAGCAATCTCTGCTGTCACAAAGGGGGTCCCTGTCAGCAGGTGAGGGGTGCGACAGTCAGTGTTGGACGTCTCACACCAGTGAAGGCGCCCCAGGTGGCGGACACGCCCCTTCGTGGTAGGGTTTCCCGTGGCTTCTCTTCTAAGCCAGGATGACCACCATCTCAGTCTGTTCCGGCTGCTGTAACAAACCACCAGACACCAGCGGCACATGACCATCAAACACTTGTGCCTCACAGTTCTGGGGGCTGTGGGTGCAGGGTCCGGGGGCCAGTCTTCTAGGCTGCCGACAGCGACTTGTCCCTGTGTCCTCCCGTGGCCGAAGGGGACAGGAACCCCTTCGGGGTCTCTCCTCTCAGGGCCCGACACGAATCCCATTCATGAGACAGTAGCTCCTGCTCGCCTCCCAAAGGCCCCAGCTCCTAACACCATCACTGTGGGAGTCTGGATGGCAACCTTAGGATTGTGTGTATGTGTGTAAGTGTGTGTGTGTTTGTGTGTGTGGAGGGAGGGGCGTGGCACAAACACTCGGGCCACAGTGCAGAGTCAGAGGTCTCACAAAGAGCCACCTAACCCTCCTGAAGGGAGTACAGAGCCACAGGCCTCCTGTTCACACCTCGCCATGGAGGGGAAGGTGCATTTGGTGAATGGAGTCTCTGGACAGGAATGTGGTGAGCTCCAGGGCAGCCACTCCTGGGTGGGAGTAGAAAGGAGGAGGCCAGGTGGGCCCAGAAACAGGGCGGGAGCCCTCCCAGGAAGCTGAGGACAGAAGGTCTGCAGAAACATATGAGAGCCAAGCTCCAAGGCTCCGGCGTGCTCCCGGTCCCATCAGCCTTCATCACAAAGCAGGTTGTCAAAGGTAAACTCGAGGGTTTCTATGCAGTGAGTGCAGAGCAGTAAACCCCAAAGGGCGGGGGGAAGCGCTCTGTGACCACACTCGTCATGAGCCCACCAAATGGCCTGGATCCAAGTTGCTAAAAATGCCTACATGCTGAAAGGCACTAGGCTCTGCTCTGCCCCTGGTACACACATATCAGCTTGTGCTCCTGAGGCTGAACCTTGGGCAAAGCATGGAAATGAGCCCAGCGATCAGCTCTGTCGAGTTCTCTAGCCCAGGAGAGGTTCCTTAGGAATTAGTGGACCTGCAAAGGAGTCTATGGAGGGGTTGGGCTCCATGCTGGGTAGAGAGAAAAGTGAATGGAGTTCTAGTCCCAACAGCCAGGCACTCTGATAAGCACTTCCCATGATCTCAGGTAGATCTCCCCAATATCCTACAAGGGCATATCATTATTGCTGCCTCATTTTAAGGGTGAGGAAAGCGAGGCTCAAAAAAAAACAAAGTGACCTGTTCAAGGTCATGTACTTAAAAAGTCAATCTGTCTGACGTCCAAGTCTACATTTGTAAATCATCCCGTTTTTTATTTTCTAGAAACAAAGGAAAGAGCATCAAGCAGGCCTGGGCAACGGGATGGGACTGGCTTGGGGGTGCAGTGATGTGACTATGACCCCTGACACCACGTTCTTAGTGAACTTGAAGGATGTGATGATTGTGCATGATGGTGATGTTGTTACGGGCTCAAGGACTCAGGCTACCTTGGCTGCGCTCCCTCCTCTCTCCGAGGGACAGGTACAGAAAACAGAAACAAAAGCCAGGACAGAAACGGTCCACCTGGCCGAGCCTGGGCCAGGCCTCTCTCTCCGCACTGCAGGTGTTCCGCCCACGTTTGCCTCGTCATCACAGTGGGGAGGAACAGCAGCTTGGAGAGGCTGGCGGAGGAGCAGTGGCTCTCGTTCAGTAGAGGTGGGGCACGCTCCTACTTCCTGGAGAGCAGGGCACAGCTGCACAGGGCCCTGGCCTTTCAGCTCCCAGCCTGCTGTTCGTTCCACTCCCCCAGGCAGGTCCTCCCCCAGTGTAAGACTTGAGGGAGGCCTAGGGCTATTATCCATCATGACCGCCCTTGAACTTGGGAAATGGAGCACATAGGTGTGCTTTCTTTGTCGATTCACTTCACTGACCAAGAACACACCACATTTCTTTCAAATATAAGTGAGCCTCTTGTCCCCTTAAAAAGGCTCTGTCCTGAAGCGTCTTCTGCCAGCCATGGCCCCACGCAGGAAGCTATTGTATTTTGTCCTTGTCTTTTTCTTCATGTTGGCTCAATGTCCATCAGGTAAGTGGGAATGGGTGGGATTTTGATGGCAGAGCATAAGGTTTGATGATTCTTCTATGTGCCCCCCTAAAATTGAGAGGATGGTCAGCTCGCCTGCTGTGCTTCTCATGGGAATGTCTTGAACTTGCTGTGGAATTTTCTAAGAGCAAACAGCTACTCCTTTTTTAAAACAAAACAAAACAAAACAAAACACTTCTTCCTGGTTACCAGGAGTAGAGTCCTCCTGCAGCCCCTGTGAAGAGCACTCCCTGACAGAAGGTCTGTGGGGTTGAGGATACTGTTGTATACAGTGCTGTTCCCTGCGTTGATTTTGGTTTCCAACATGTGCTTCATTTTGATTTAGGGTACCGGGCAGGACTCGAATATTCCCAGCCCTTCCCAGGAGGTAAGTTCAGCCCCGTGTGTTCTGATTTTACTTTAGGGACTCTGGCCGGCCAGCTCCCTCTCACTTCCGGAGACAAGCGAGTGATGGACATAGCAGTGAAGATGTAACTGCCTGAACTTCGCTGATGCCTGACTTTTCTTCCTCTTGTTCCCAGCATCCTACTTGGATTTTCCATTTCACCGGGAAATCTCTTTGTGACTGGATTATAGTTTTGGCCATAGAGATTTGGACCCAGTGGCTATTCTCATTAGCTCATGGTGACCTCTAAACCCAGGTCACAGGATTAAGCTTGGACTGGCCACTGAGCATTGCCCTGAGGACATGCTTGTCCACCTCTTACAGGCTCTTTCCCAAGTCCAGTGAAGCATGAGGCACATGCATGCAAGTGGTCTTAGAGGGCCCAATAAAGGAGTGTTCTAGAACCATTCAGTGAAAATTCACCCCCCTTAGAGAAGAGCTGTTCTTAATGAACAGCCCATGGGTTTTGGGGTTTTTTTTTGGTGGGCTCATACAGAAATAAAGCATATTATACACAAAAGGGAAAAAAGTTCTTAAGGAATTGCAAACAAAATTTAAAAGTGTTCAGGCAGAATTTCAGAGTGAGAAAAATTAAGGCTGATACTAGTCACTGAGTGTTCTCTCTATGCACCTGACAGTCCATTAACAACTCGATGTGGATTATCTCATTTAATCTTCAAAACTTCCCCAGGAGGTAGGTACTCTTATAACCACCCATTTTTGCAGATAATGAAACAGGGACACAGATGAGCTATTAAGAAAATTTGCCCAGGTGTCACACATAATAAGTGCTAAGCCAGGCTTCCAACTGAAGACATGAAAGTCATCAGTTTTAATTCTGTGACGCTCAACCAGATAGTATAGCAGCAACACTACTCTTTTTTTTTATTAATCATTGTTCATATACAGTTTTCTCCTTTTTACTCCCAATCCAGTTCCCCCTCCCACCCGCCCCCCTTCCCTCCCATTACCACCCTCCCCTTAGTCTATGACCATGTGTCCTTTAAGTTTGTTCCTGTGAACCCTTCCCATTGTCCCCTTAAATTCCCTCTTCTCTCCCCTCCGGTCACCATCAGCCTGTCCTCTATTTCAGTGTCTTTGGTTACATTTTGCTTGTTTCTTTGTTTTGTTATTTAGGTTCCTGTTAAAGGTGAGATCATATGGTATTTGTCTTTCACTGCCTGGCTTGTTTCACTCAGCATAATGCTTTCCTGCTCCATCCACGCTGTTGCATAGGGTAGGAGCTCCTTCTTTCTTTCTGCTGCATAGAATTCCATCGTGTAAATGTACCATAGTTTTTTGATCCATTCATTTTCTGATGGGCACCTAGGTTGCATCCAGCATCTAGCTATTGTAAATTGGCAGCAACACTACTCTTAAGCACAGGCAGCATACAGGGTTTTCAACACACTGTGTAGCACAGGATGGAACACTTGAACCATACACTCCCTGAAAAGCACAGACGCTGTCACATGGAATCATCTTGCCCAACCCAGTGGGTACCATCTGCATGTAAACATCTCCAGAGAGGGTTTTCAGGGTGATGGGGGGAGAGTGGGTGTTCTTTTGCTGCAGTCAATGGCCTTGAAGAGATAACCCCTTGCATTCTGGAGTAGGCCACATTGGAAACACCACATCATTTCATGTCTCACCTGAATCTAAGGCTGAAGATGCTGGTTCTTCCCTGCCTCATGCAGGAGAATAGGCTGAGGCCCCAAAGCACAGCCTTCTGCAAATCCAGGTGAAGAGAGTGGAACTTACAGAAGCAGGGACTATATGACAGATGCTTCTGCAAAAGATCCAGGTGAGGAAGGACATGGACATTTAGCAGTAGAAAAATCATAAAATTAGGAGCTAGATGTGAACAAGGAATTGAGGAGTCTGAGATTTAGCTATTGAGTGGAGGGCCCTTGGAGCCTCAGAATTGTACTGCAAAGAAGGCACAGGATAGAGAAGAAGACACTGGTTCTTTGTAAACGTCATCAGGGGGCTTTTGGTGGCATCTTCAGTAGAAGTTTAGTTTTTGTCTTTCCTCATTTCCAAAGTAGGTTAGAGGCAAAGTCACCAGGGACTTTGTTTCAGAGGCCACGGGAATTTTTGTCCCAGGTGTGTTGAGTGCACAGCATTGAGAAGAGGGGGTAATGTGAACTTGGGCTTGCTAGAGTAAAGGCTGGGGGAATGGCTTTGACTCTGACCTTGAACTTCACGAATGGACAAACAAGATAGTCTCTAGGTAGTACAGTAAGTTCCAACACAACACAAGCAACGCTTAGCGTGACTGTGAACCATCTTTGAGCTCGTGTTCAGGATATTTGGTGGTAAAAGAACAGGACAGAGCCCCAAGATGGGACTCAGGCTAGCCAGGAACATTGCTGAGCTACCATCAGAGAGGGAGGAGCAAGGAATGAGGCAGGAAACACGAGGATTGAAAAACGAGCTGCGCAGGCACACAGGGTAGGGGAAGGGACAGGGACACAGCTGTGGCTCCCCCCTGTAAGGGTCAGTATGGCTCTGAGGTTACTAGAAGAGGGTGGTTAATAGGGATGAAAATAAGGGGTAACAACTTAAATGCTGGCCCTGGGGAAGCAGATGAGCAAAGGAATTTTCCTGGGGTGGCAAAGATACTGCCCACTGGGCCCATGGGCATTGCCTGAATGTTCTCTGTGGTCACGCAGGAAAGCTTCTGTTTTAAGTACTAACAAAGAGAGCTCGCTGAGTGAGCAGTGCTTGGCAAAATAGTCTCACGTCAGTTATTCCATTTCACCACTAAAGAATTCAAATGCAGACAATTACAGTATGTGCCCTTGACGGAGAAGGCTGAGGTTAGGCACTTCCCTGAGGACACACGGCCACTACTAGACCTGGACAAGAACTGAACCTAAGGCTTTAACCCCTCCTCCAAGGACCTTTCACAACCACGTGGGGTTCTTTCCACTGCCATCACCAAGCCTCTGTGCCCCTGTGAGCGTTCTCTAATCTCTGAGACACTGGTGGTGCCTCCTTTTGACCAGGCAGCATTAGAAACACAAGGAGAACAGGGATGCTACCCCACTCCTGCTGGACAGTGAACACTCTCCAACTACTTTTTGAAAACAGCAGAGCTCTTTGAAAAATCTAGGCTGGTTCTTGAAAACACCCTCTCTAATCCTAACTATACCCCTTCCTCTTGGTGGCCCTAGACCTTGCCCCTGTTCCTAGAGCCCCAGGAAAGGCACACGAGCAGCTCTTTCTTGGCCCAGGTGAGTTTGCTGCTTGTGAGTCATGCAGGCTGGGCCGGGGCAAGTGCAGACGGATGTGCATGGAGGACGAGAAGGTGGTTGGCACCTGCAAGCTGAACTTCTTCTGCTGCCGCGGGAGGATCTACTGAGCCAGACCGGGGCTCTCCCAGCTCAGGAAGCAGGACTGGATATTCGAAGAAGGTGAAGAGAAGTTCTGTGGCTTAAAAAAGCCACAGGATGCATGGGTGTCAGGCCCCCTCCTGATCCTCTCTCCCTTTGTTTTGTGTCTTCGCTTATTTTTAAAGATAATCTTGAAAAACACCAGGCATGCATGGGTACCTAACAGCTTGAGGACACGTATGTCTCCTGAGTTTCAATCAAATGCTGCCACTATCTATAATATTTGTAGCGTGTCTGATGATGGATGAAATGCCCCACACACTCCTCACGTGATGTGTGATCACCGTATGAAGTGTATTTTATTATCTCTATTTACGTTATAAGAAATTGAGACCCTGAGTCATTTCCTAAAAGTCATGGCTGGGCCAGTACAGGATGCACGCACCACTGCCACGTTGAGTGTATCTATCTGTGAGAATAGTCCTCACAAGACAGGAGCCCGTTGCGGATAGTGGAGTTATGATTCCATGGATCACAATAAGCGACTCTTTCCGCACCACTGCTTAGTCAACCAACAGATGGTCATTTCTTGGTTCTAGCACTTGTGGTCCATTTATGAAACAACTCATACGTACTCACCAGTTAGTGCCTTGCCCACCTTTGCCTTTTTGTGTGTGCCATTGAATGAGAACCTTGGAGGTCACTTTAACACGTCCAGCATGGAATGTACCGGGAGGGTTGACTGTATACCTTTTGCCTTATGAAATGCAATATGTAGCTTCACACAATAAAGGTCAAAAGTACCAGTCCTCTGAGCAGTGACCTAAACTCGGTTACTGAGTTTGAAGGACATAGTAAAAATTACAGTGGAAATAAATGAAATGGAAACTAAGAAAACAATAAAGAAAATCACCAAAACCAAAAGCTTTTTTTTTTTGAAATGATCAACACGACAGACAAACCTCTAGGTAGCCTGATCAAGGAAAAAAGAGAATACTCAAATGACTAAAACTAGAAGTGAGAGACCGTTACTACTGACCTTACAGAAATAAGAAGTACCATAAGGGAATGCTACACACAATTGAATGGCGAACTTTAGGTACCTTAGATGAAATGCACGTATTTCCAGAAAGACATTATTGGGCCTAGAAACTATGAGTACTTTTCCTCCCACCTTCTAATCTCTTCTGGCTGGGCTAATAATGAAGTGAACAGAGATGGATTAACAGGAGAAAATCAAAACTATAATACATACACATGAAAATTCAAAAGGCAGTGAGGCAAGGCTGAGTTTAAGGCAATTCAGACAAAGGAGAAAAGGCGGGAAGAGTGTAGATTTCAGGGATGAGAGTGGGTGGCTTGCGGGGAGTTGAAGGACAAGGGATCAGAATGGCAGGAAAACAATGGGACACTCTGGGTATGTCGACACAGGCCCCCGCCTGAAAATTCTTCTTTACCACACTTATTACAACTTAGATAAAAAGTCTTAAGATTCTGTTCCTGAAGCAGGCTTTCCATCTGAATGTCTTGGGCAGGAAGGCAGGGAGGGTCAAAAGTCCTTTCTGAGTCTGTTTTGTCATAAACAGCTTAAAATCATTATGCTAAAAAAGCCACTCCGAGGTGGCAACATGTTGGTCCCTTGAACATACATACCAACACTGACTGAAGAATAAGCAAAAAACAAAAACAAAAACAAACAAACAAAAAAAACCCCAAAACTGAATAAACCTCTAACAAGTAAAGAGAACGAACTAGTGTAAGAGAATACATTTTACCGCATAAAACTGAGATCAGATGGCTTCCCTGATGAATTCTAAAGATGCTCCTCCATTTTCTTCTGGCTGGAATTATATTTTTAAATTTTATTTTAACCATTGTTAAAGTACAGTTTTCTGTCCTTTACTCCCATTCCAGCCCACCCCGACAGCCCTCCCCACCTCCCTCCCATTTCCACCCCCCCCAGTTTTTGTCCATGTGTCCTTTATACTTGTCCCTGCAAACCCTTCCCATTCTGCCCTGAAATTCCCTCTTCTGTCCCCTCTGGTCACTGTCAGTCTGTCCTCTATTTCAGTGTGTTTGACTATGTTTTGCTTGTTTCTTTGTTTTGTTGTTTAGGTTCCTGTTAAAGGTGAGATCATATGGTATTTGTCCCTCACCGCCTGGCTTATTTCACTTAGCATAATGCTCTCCAGCTCCATCCACGCTGTTGCAAAGGGTAGGAGCTCCTTCTTTCTTTCTGCTGCATAGAATTCCATTGTGTAAATGTACCCTAGTTTTTTGATCCATTCATTTACGGATGGGCATCTAGGTTGCTTCCAGCACTTGGCTATTGTAAGTTGTGCTGCTATGAACATTGGGGTGCATAGGTTCTCTTGGATTGGTGTTTCAGGGTTGGGTTCTTAGGATATAGTCCCAGCAGTGGAATTTTTCACGCAGAAACATTTTTACTGACATGTCCCCTAGAGCACGGGACATAAGGAAAGAATAAACAAATGGGACCTCATCAAAATAAAAAGCTTCTGCACGGCGAAAGAAAACAGTATTAAAATGAAAAGAGAACCAACTGTATGGGGAAACGTATTTGCCGATAATACCTCAGACAAGGGTTTGTTTTCAAAATATATAAAGAACTTACACGACTCCACTCTAAGGAGACAAGCAACCCAATTAAAAAATGGGCAAAGGACTTGAACAGACACTTCTCCAAGGAGGACACACAGAGGATACAGAGACACATGAAAAGATGTTCAATATCACTAGCCGTCAGAGAGATGCAAATTAAAACCACAATGAAATACCACTTCACACCAGTCAGAATGGCCATCATAAACAAAGCAACAAATAACAAATGTTGGAGAGGTTGTGGAGAAAAAAGGACCCTAGTGCACTGTTGGTGGGACTGCAGACTGGTACAACCACTATGGAAAACAGTATGGAACTTTCTCAGAAGACTAACAATGGATTTGCATATTTTTTGGATGAGAAGTTTGCTTCACTTCTTCCCAGTGATCCCCCTCAAGCCCAGTGGTCACGGGCCCCCTTGTGAGCCTTTTCTTTGGCCAACAGTGGAGGTCTGATGGTGGTGGTGGCTTTCAACTCCTTTCCCCAGCCTGATTTCTTTTAGCTGGGCTGTATGTTTGCCATTAAAGCACTAGGAAAGTGTTTGTTGCCCTTCTCACAGAGCTGTAAGGCTTGTTGTCCAATATGGGAGAAGGATTCTGGAAGAATATTGTGCGTTTCTCCCCGTGGTTAATTACTGTTCCCCTCACCCCAGCCTACATGGGGGGGGGGCTGGGTTTTTTTTTTTTTCAGGCTATCTTCCCAGTTCTGTTATCTTTTGTGTGAGCACCTGTGGTGAGGTCTGTGAGAAAGAACTTGGATGCCAAAGGTGTTCCCTGTTCTCTTTCTAGTTTACACTTGCTCTTAGCAATTCCTCACACACTCACCTGAATTATTCCACACCAGTGTCGGGTGGAGTTTATACCTCAAGCAAATGAGTGCTCATGTTTTATTTTTCTTGAGGTTTTCCCTTTCATCTTAGATGTGGGGAGAGTGAGCCACCAGTGGCTCGGCTTTCTGGTGAGTCCAGAAACGTTGAGTATTTGCATCCCACCCTGCATGTTGGTGTGTGTTTGCTTGATGTGGGAATGGGTTCTTTCCATCTCTGTACATCCTAAGCAGAAGCCACCCTTTGTTTCATAAAACATTGCATTTCCTAAAAAGGTGAAGAGGTATTCAAACCCTCTACTAATTCATGTGTCAATTTTGGTAAGTTGATGTTTTGAAGGATTTTTTCCATTTTTATTTACATAAAAATGGGCTGTTGCCTGTTCAGGCAAAGAGATGTCAATAACATTTTTTTGCATCATTTTAGTCGGGAAGATCTTTCTCATGGTTTGCAGCCCTTTGACCTCTAGTTAGCTACTTAAGAATCAGTTTGGGGCTTGGGACACTTCCTTACTGAGAGGTAAGAGCCCACACAGCCTCCACCAAGATTATCAGCTTGTGTGGAAATATCTCTCCTGTTTCAGGTCCAAAGAATGCTGTTTCGTCTTTGCTCCAGTGTGTGTGTCTCATATGGCATCTAGCCAAACCCACTGTTATATCTGCCCTGTGCCAGGAGGGGGCAGCGTGAGAAGGGTGCATGTAAGCAAATTGCCCAGCATTGGCCAATTTTTAAACAATGATTACTCCCAGCACCGATTAGTAACTGCTCACTGAATTTTGTAAGAGGGTAAGTTGCATGTAAAATCCTAGGTAAGAAGAAAAGGAGCAGTGGTTATAGAACTCATGGAGCTGGTGGTCGTTGAGATGCGGCTTGAAGAAAAAATAGGGGATGCCCAGGCAGACACACAGACTAGAGTATTCCAAGAAGGAAGACAGTGTTCTCTGTCTTTCCCTCCCAGAAATGCTAGGAAGTAAAATCTGGTTTGCCAGCCCACCCATTATTTAATGGGGCATGGAGAATAGTTGATTCTTAATGAGCACTACAAGTCCAAGTTATTTCTGGCCCCTTTGGAGCTGTGGAAGTTGTTTTAATCAACGTTCCTGTTCAAAAACCTGACTTCTAGCTCCAGTACCTCCCTTGCCCTCTCTCCACTGATGCCTGGCACCATGAGAATCTTTCCCTTAACCATGGCTGGCCTCATTCTTCTTGCTCAGATTTTCTCAGGTAAGCAGGAAATCCTTACAGATGTAAGAATGACAGACTGTTCAGGATCTGTCGTTTTAGAAGAAAGCTCAGCTTTTAGAAAATTGCTTGACTCACCCCATATTTTAAAAAGGACCCAAGATGGACCAGGTAATGGAAAACCTTCACTGAGATCACACATGGAACAATGGGACCGCAGGGGCCCCGACCATCTCTAACCAGAGAGAATCTAGTGAATTGCCCTGAAATCCCTGCAAAGGGTTCAGACTCCTTACTCTTCAGAGTCCTTTCCTCCTCTGCAGACTTCCACCCAGCTTCCGTATGTGCTAACGTGATCACTGCAAACTGAGAGAACCTCTCAGAGGCAAATTCCAAACACACTTGTTAGTTTAAGGAAGTAAAGCCTTTGTAGCCTTAGGGAATTTATACTAACAGGTTAACAGTCTATTTTTCCATCTCTCGCTAATCTGTCCGAATCTCCTAATCTTAGATTATTTTGAGCTTTCTTTCTAGCTCTCACACACTGATGTAAAATTGCACCATTTAAAGCACTAACAACTTGATTAGTTTGCTTTTATGTTCTAGAGACCTTTGCTATAGTCCCTGCTGGCTCCATTCAGCCTGGAATCCGTTCCTGAGAACATTTTCTGTCCTTCGCTGCTCAACTGTCCTTCATTCCTGTAACAAAGCCTCTCCCAGCAGGACTCCCCAGGGTTCCCAGATTTCTATATCTATTTATTACACAGTTGGGCCTCAGGAGGCCTAACAAACTAATAGATACTGAGTAAGTGATAAGTGCCTACCACTTCTGAGAAATTGTTCTGGGAACCGTAATAAAGACAAGTAAAATAGAAGTAAAAGTGTAAGTAGGGCATAGCTTTCCCCCTTAATTTGCTTGGATTTAATTGGTCTCTTACTTCCGTGTTGGTCAACAATGGGTTGCCTGTAATAGTAAGTAGGCCCTAGATACATTGAAAATGTAGAAAGTGAGTGTACCAGACAGGAAGATGCACAAAGTACTGTAATACCAAATGGTTCTCTTAAACGCCATATATGATGTCAGGTTCAGAGAGAAGCTCTGATAGGGGAGTTGGGTTCTCACTCGGGGCTTAGGAAGGGCTTCCTGGGTGGTGGTATTAGCATCGCGCTTTTGAAAGCAGCCAGCAGGGAAGAAAGACTGCAGCTGAGAGTCATGCCCTCGTATTTCAAAGTCTCACTTGTATAATCAGGTTACTTAGCTTCTGCCCCAGTCTCCTTCCTTGGAGGTCACAGGCTGGGTCCAGGGAGAGGAAACACTGTCCTCCCCACCTCCTCTCATCAGGACACAAGTCCTTAAGAGCTCCTTACCCCTAACTCAGCTCAGGCTCATTTGAACCCCCGCAGTAAGGTCAGTAGCAGCACAGAGCAGGACCATGGCCACCACCACAGTGACCAGAGCCTCTCAGGGGCAGAAAGGAGTTTAATTACCAACATACAATGTAATACAAGCAGACTATTGTGCTGAGATATTTCAGGTCAATCTCAATTCCAGTCCTCATTAGCTGTAAGAACTCTGTGCTTCAATCTCCCTTCTGCAAATGGTAAGGACAATAGGGTTGCTTGTAAGGTTAATACACTTAAGGTTATATTAATTAGAGGCCAACTTGTTTTCATAAGATAGAGTGGCTGAAAAAAGAGAGTTTATTTCCCTGCCATGTCCAAGTCCAAAAATAGGCAAGCTGACAAAGCTGTGTCCTTCAAGTGAAGTTGGCACTGGGGGGGAAGGCCAACTTTGCCACCCTAAATGCATGACTGTTTTGTCTGCTTTTAAAGATGCTCAACAGGAAAAGCTAAGAGGTAAGCAAAGAACACAATGCAAAAGACTACATAGAAGCACCTTGCATCTTTTCACTTCTGTGTCATTGGTCCATATAGAAATGGAGACACAGGCACTGATGTCTTTAGCTAAGTATCCACGAGCCCAGCCAAAGCCCAGAGGACCTATTACTACAAGTCTAAGGGGAAAGACATCTGCTTGGGGAGTCTCACACCCCTCTGTTTATGCGAACTGCTGAACCAGTGCCAGGCACGTGTCCTGTGCTCTGATGGAGTTATTAACTGTTGTCAGTGCCTTGTTTTCATTGTGCTGGTCTTCATTGTTCTTATCATCTGCCCCGATTCAATATTTAAACACCTCATGCACGTCTCATGTCAGGTGACTGCTCAGATGCCTGATACATTTTACTGAACTGTAATTCACAACACCCCAAGTTCAACTTGGGCCTGCTTAACTCTTTTCTCCTTACTTTGAGTAGAAATCTAAGTCTTCACATTTTCTCCCTTTGATCTGAGTGCTAACTTGGACATGAATGAGCTTAATGTCCCTTCAGCACGGTAATACCTCAGGTATATAGTAGCTAATATGCCCCTTTCCCTCCCCAACTTTTGTTTTCCAAGAGTGAACATTACTCCTTGTGAGGGTAACCTCAGTACCACATCCTTCTATCTCTGGACGCCAAGCCACAACCACATGACAGCCCGCACTGTTCATCACTGACCAGCCTGCAGTGTGAACAGCACAGGCTTCACGTTTTTGTACATATCAGGGGCTATGAATTTGGAGATGTAAAAAACATCATTTATTGGAAAGAATTATTTATTAGAACCAAAAAGTATATTGTTTCCCTCCCAGGAAGAAACAGTCTATTTCTTGTATTTTAGAAATGATTATGAGAACAGGAACTCTTTTTGTTGTTGTTTGTTTGTTTGTTCTGAGTGAATGTCACGTCAGGGCACAGCTGCTCAGGTGACATCTGGTTATCTGAGATTCATGCTAATTAATTGCTGGACAACTGAAGACTAATTGCTTTCTCCACTCAGGCAGGGGAGGAGTTCGAAGGGAAATCCGTTGCGAGAAGATGGATGGCCGCTGTGAGGTTGAATGCCTTTCCTTTGAAGTAAAGATTGGGGGCTGCAGAGCTGAACTGACACCGTTTTGCTGCAAAAAGAGGATAAAAACTTAAATGCTACAAACTGCAGCCACAAAAATGAAAAAGGTGGGGAGACTCTAGCAGCTGTGACCTCAGTGCCCTGAACTTCTCTGGATCCTTCCTCTTTGATGTCTGAGTTCTAGATTCTCCAAAGCTGTCAGTTCGGTTCTCGGGGCTACAGGGAAATGCCATCACCAGGCTGTGAGCTTCTGGGGGGAAGGCGCTTTGTCTTGTCACCTGGGCACCCACAGTGCTGGGTATGGGGCTATTGGGAAAGTGAGACAGTGAATTAATAGGTTAAATAGGTAGATTGGAAAGGGAGGAGCATGACCCCCTTGAACTGAGTTGTAAATTTATAGTCCTGGCTTCAAACACATGTGTGAGTTTGGGCCTTCCCTTCTAAGAGTCTGGTGCCTGTAATCCGGGGAGCCTGGACTGCACAGAAAACAAACCTTCCATCTGCTGGACACTCACTGTGACCTCCTCAGCATCACCCCTGTCACATACTCCTCCTCTTCTCCTTCATCAACAGGAATGATTTAGAATGTCTCACATTCCCTGTCTGATCTAGCATTTCGAGTTCCACAAAGAAACTGGCCCATGTGGAAACTTGAGCTGGCCGTAGATGGAGTCGCATCTTCCTTCTGGCCACCTGGAAGAGGAGTGTCAGATCAGGCCTATCAGTGACCCCTAGAGATCACTGCCTTTCATGCCCTCATCACAGATGAGGACACCCAGGCTCAGGGAGACCCTAAAGTTACTGGCTCACTTGCATCTGTGTGCTTTCTGGTTTGTGTGCTTAGCATGTCCATGAAAGAGTGTGCTAGGCATGGACAACAACAAAGGCCGATTCTCAACAAAACAAGGCCCTGGACACCTCCCCAAAGCCCTTGTGTGATCCCGTAACATTTTGCTCAATGGAAACAGCAAACCCAGGCTTGCCTTTGCCCTGATTTGCCTAGATTTAGAGTCCAGCTTTGAGGCGGAGCAAAATATCTTTTATAGGCCATTTTCATTATAGAAGGTTTATGATCTCCCTCCAGAACTGGAAAGAAACGCCCCTCAGCTCTCCTCCAAAGAATTTCCTTACCTAGTCAATTAGGCTTGCTTCCCATAGAGATGTACATAAGAAACAAAAAAACTAAAACACGATTTCCTGGTAGAAGATAATGTGTATGAGGTTTTAACATAAATAAAAGTGTTTGTAAAGTGTTCTGATATTGCTACCTATCTTCACAGTGCAGAATACTTTTTTCCTGAAAGTTACGCAAAAGGAAAACGAGTGGGTGAAGTGCAGCTGCAATCGGAGAACTAGCCCAGGTTCTGTGCATGTGCCCGAATTCCTTGTCAGTGGGCTCGGGTAAAAGACACTGCCTTTGAGAATCCAAATGGATTTAAGCTTTTTCCCTTTCGTTTTTCTTCTTCTCCCCCTCTCTCTTTCATTACCAAAAGACTCAGAATGTCGTACGCATTTTCCACCCCCACTGTTTTTGTACCGTATTCGCTTCACAGCCTACAGAAATGGCTTCTGCCTCCATCACGCTCCTGGAATCTGTCTCAGTAAGGAGACCAGGGACCTCTTAGGCGTGCCTTCATGCATGGCAGGCAGTCATCTCCTTCATTTTCTCCCCCTTTTGCACTCTAGGACCTAGGTCTCCTAGATACCTTTCTTCCTCTTCGCTCATTCTCAGACTCCTCTGTTCCCTCTTCCCACTCCTGTGCTTTCAACCCCCTTTCCCCCAGTGGCACGACTACCGATTTTCCAGCCCTTCTCGTTCCAAGCCCCCTTCTGTACTCCGCTCTGCATCCTTGCCTGGAGACCTGCACACTGCATATGACAGAGCTCCTGGTCAGTTAGCCTCCTCTCCGTGCCTTTAACGCCTGGCAGCAGCAGTAGGGTGGAAATTAAGACCAAGAGGGCGGGCAGCTGTTTCCACTTCCTGTTCTGGTGGGCTGTGCTTGGATGGCAGCAGGGATTGGCTCCAGGCTCCAGCTTCCTCTGTGTTCACAGTGTGGACTCCTGACCATGCTCAGAGGAGCCAGCACCACCCAGGCTCTATACCCTTGGTAGTAGGAGGACCAGCCGAGCTCTGACCTGCTTTGCTGAGCTCCCTGGCTGCCCACACCCCTCCTGTTCCACGTTTCCTACTCCAGAGTCTGAGACCTGGCTGCAAGTGAACCCCCTACCTGTCTAATACCCTGGCACAGGTCGAATCTTCCCAAGAGTCTTAAGGATCCTTCCTGAGGTGCACCCGACTCAGAGATCTGAGCTCCAGACTCACAGGTCTGGCCCGGATATGCATATTTCTAACTGCGTGTATCTGAGCACTAGTCCCCAGCACAGCCTTCCCCTCCCGCTCCTCTAGGCCCAGAGCGGGATGACTGCATGCTGTGATGGTTCAACCCTGTAGCCTCTCAGCCTTCCTGCTCAGTGTAACCAGTTCTCCCGTGTTCTCAATTCCCAGTGACGTTTCTGGGCACCTGGAGCCAGCTGGTCTGATGAAAATTCCACGCTGACTTCTAACTCCCACTTCTCGCTGAACTTTATTAGGCTACTGGTCATCTCCACGTGGATTTCTGAAAGGCACTTCAAAAGCGATTTGCCTTGATTGCAAATCACCCCTTTATCAAACTGATCTTCATTTAACGTTGGTCAGTACTGTTATTATTTACTCAGATACTCGGGTTAAAAATGGCTCACTCAGGAATGCTTACATTCCCTCATAAATCACACGATTCAATCATTACATAAACCTACCCGAGCTGTTCATGAATATTCACAAACTGTGTTGTAACTTTTTTCCTTCCCTCCCTGTTCTCACTGACATTGACCTAATTCAGGTCCTCATCAACCTCAGCCCCCAGTGTTAATTGCTCTGTTGAACTAGTCAGTCCTTATTGCTATTACCGTCCTTAGAAGGCTTACTTACAATTTTAGGATTGGACATTACAAGGAATAAGGAATAGTTCTACCTTCTCATGTTGTATATGTGTGCATATGTGAACACATGCATCCCCTCTTTACACACACAGTCAGTTGCTCAACCACCAAGTGTAAGTTTCACACTCAGATGTCTAAGAATACTGAGAACACTAAAACATCAGAGCTAGGAGCAGCCTTGGAGATCCTCTAAGCCTGTGGTTCCAGAACTGAATGGATTGCACTTATATAGAATATTTCTAAAAATCAGGGCTCTGAGCTCCACACTGACACTCTCCTGTTGGAACTCTTTAAGCTAAGAATTTGAAATGTTAAAGTGATGTATGCAGCAGTGCTGGAGAACTCTCGATCCCTGAACAGGGGCACGTCTGAGACTCAAAGGTGGCCCACACATCTGGTGAGGAGCAGAGAGGGACATTTAGAACTTCCAACCAGCACTTGAGTCTTTTGGGTTGAGTGGGGTGTCACTGTCTCACACTTGTCCACTTGAAAAGGACACGGTGAGAGGACAGGGACAAAGTGGCTCACCTCTCGCTCCACTCCAGGCACAGAAGCTCGGACTTTGGTGGGGAAGACAGATATGTGTCCAGCGAACTAACAGACAGTGTGATAACTTTTGCAATGTGAACTAGACCCGTGGAAATCAGAACAGGCAGGGGGCGATGGGTCTGACCGGAGTTACTGCAGTCTGGAGAGAGTTCCCAGACAAAATGTCCTGTCCTGTCTAAGCCAATTGCCGTGTCACCCTAGACTGTATCATTTCAACTAAAATGGAAGGACTGTTGTTGATAAATTTCCACTTTATTGCCAATACACCATTAACTTTTGTTCCCATTTGGCAATTATTTTCATTCAAAACTGCCAGTTCCATCATCCTGGAGAACTGAGCATCCATAAGAACAAGGACTCCCTGTTCTCCTTTGAAGGCTATTCTGCCCCTGGGGAGCCCTCTGTCCCTGGACACCCTTAATGAGGTATCAGGACGTCCTCATTACCCAGGCAAAGACATCCTACGGGCCCCAGGGAGCTGCTGACTGAAGTGAAGCCATCAGCTGCCTGCTGTCTCTATGGAGACCGTCACCCACGAGAACTATCATCACTCTCCTTGGCCATTTTATTCTTTTTTGAACCAAGTCTCGGATTATGAGCCTTGGTTTAAGTTCAGAGCATCTGAGAGCTTGAGAGAATCCTACACACAAACCCAGTCCCCGGGACTACACACCAGGAAGGTTCCCCATGGCAAAGTCTGTGACGGGACGTGCAGTCACGTGAGCCCCAAATGACCTCTTCTGGTTGTACCAATCACATGCCCGGTCAGGTGAAAACTGACTTAGATGAGATGCCGTCGGAGGCTCTCCAGGTGTCTGAGACCATCTCTGTGTTTTCCTGATCATCCCACATCTCCCAAACTCCTCTGCTCTCATCCTCCAGGAGCTAGTGAATCTAAGAGGCTGGTACGAGAGGGGCACGCTACAGCCCTGTGGAGTCAAACGGAAGCAGTAGCGACCACTTGCAAGGATCGCACTGAGCGAAGGAAACACACCCAGTAACGCTAGTCTTTAGGCTTGCCCCAGTCCCCATGGCTTTATTTCAGCCCCTGGCTCTCCTTGTTGCCTCTCCACCCCTGGCCTTCCCAAACGCAACCTATACTGAGAGGTACAAGCCGATTCTAAGGCTGAGTGTGCCCTTTGCACTTGAGGTAGAAATAAGGACTAGAGGTATAACCATCCTTCCCTAACAGGCGTTACAGCAGCTCCTTCAGGACCCCTCCCTGCCTGTGGCTGAGGAAAGGACTAGAAAGAGAAAGGAGAACAGGCCCATCTCTAAAGCATCTGGCCAAGTATGTTCCAGGAGGCATAAGCAATGTTACTGTACCTGAAATAAAACATTTGTTTCCATGAGGAACAGGGTCTTAGGGTTCAGTAAAATATAGGTGGTGGACATAGAAGTAACCATAATACTTACTTATTTATTATGTTTCAGAGCATGGTGTTGAGAGAGTTTATATTAGGAGAAATCTTTTTTTTTTTAATCCTCACTCAAGAATACTTTTTCATTGCTTCTAGAGAGAAAGAGTAAAGGAGAGAGAGAA